ACAACTGTCTACTCTGTAATATGCACAGGGTTCCATGACGGACCTGTTACATGGGGCGGGTGAACCGCCTACACTGTCTTTTAGGCCGAACTTCCGTCAAACGGACAAGTTGTAAACTAAAGACTCGACTTGCACTCAAATCCATGAATCTCCATATGAGTGATTAGTGCGAAGCTTTAGTTAGGCGACAGGAACAACAAAGGCTACGCTTATGCGACAACGTCACTTGCGTAGTGAATACAGGCGATAAGCAGGGTGAGTGACAAACGTGCGCCACCGTGAAGTTGAGGTAACAGAAGGTTCTAATGACAAGACGGGGAAGTTCAGTACGTCCACACTAGGTTACTTGCTAGTTGGGGGGCAAATTGAAGGCCTTGCACAGACCGAGAAGGGTTTATGAGGCTAGTCGCAATTAATCGATTGTTCGCAACAAATACCTATTTCAGATACCCAAGGAGACGTTTGCCAATTTGGAGCAGACAAGCGCTCGACTTCAGCGCAGTGGAGAATGCTGTCGTGCTTTTGTTAGGACTCAGCTACGGCTTAGGCTACACGTTGTTATAAACGGTCGGCCTGTGGGGACGTAAGATGCTGACCATCTTAAATGCAATACAATTGTCCAAGTCCTATGTGCAGTTGTCTGCAATCACTCGGTCGCACTGTCATTTGACTGGCTCGTATTAAGTATACTCTCCACAGCACACTGAAGGTTCGAGGGGGTGGAAGAAGTCGCTGTAGGAACTTTAACATTATTGAAAACAGCAAACTGACTGACGGCGAGAGGGCTGTCCGCTTTGGGTTAAACCCGAGCGCCAGGCAACCAGTACCGTGGCAAAAAAGGACCTAATGCAGCTTCCAGTCGGGGTGGTTCGTTAATCACACCCAAACGACATAGTCGTTTGCATTGTGGCTTTTACTTCTGATGGCGAACTTTCTATCGGAATTTCTTTCAGTCGAACTTTATACATAGTGGGTCACTCAGGCCACTACAAATAAGTCAAGTGTGCTATCAGAAAGTGAGAACCAAAGTCCTTGCTTATGGAGAGCAAAATTGTCCAGACGACGTTCTATCCAGCGTCTAACCTGCGTTGTTTTGCCAGCTCTGTCCAACTGCCTAAGGAGTCGGGTCTTTCATCGTGCATTTAAACATGTTTGGGTAAGGTGATGAATTTCGATTATGCTAGTGACTATAACGTGCTGTGTCCATAGGCTTACAAAAACAGTTATGATTGGGTTGAAAGCAGATCCTGGCGGATTGAGGATGGTTGCTGCCAGTTTTGCGGCCGGATATCCGTCTGGTTTCCGTAGGTGGTGATGCTTACGTGGATTCTAGTTGGAAGGTTGTCCTAACCTTCGTGAAAATTCCTGGCAGATGGCTTAAAGACCGATAAATAAACCGCCAAATCAACCAAGGATACGCAGTCTTAGACTCCTTCAAAGCCTGTGCACTTTACGTGGGATGGGACGGATAAGTGAAGTGCCTGTAAGCGGAGCTTCCGCCAAGACGGCCCTCCAAACGCATGTGCGACATGTTAAATGGGCTCTGAAAATATACCTTATCTGGAAGTGTTGGAAGCATGGTGCTTACCCTTCGTAATTCAATCTTCTTCTTCCAACAAACTGACCGAGAATCGGCCAGGTCAAGGGTTTATTTATAGGCCGAATTTGCAAAGGTATATGTGACGACCTGGAGATTAAATTCTTAAAGATGTCATCTAACAGCCTAAGATGGCGACGTCCCCATGTTGGCTAACAAGTGATCCGCGGCATTCCAGCGGCCTGACTGGCCTGCTCACAGGCTCATCTTTGCTCATAGGCTAAGGGCCAAATCAATTACAGTAAAAACGCTACCCGCCTAAGGTAACGATCGCAGTCGTGTCCACAATTCAAACAGAACGGAGCCCGGAAACTCAGAGCGGGACGAAGTGCAAACGCACATATCTTAAACTGCTAGAAAAGAAACCTACGCTCAAAAATGCCTCACGGCCCTCACTACAACCTCCAGTTGCAAACATACATTTCATGCAACCGCTGTAGGGCAGGCAAGGATAAAGACAATAACCCCTGGTTACTCCATAAAAGGCAGATATAAAAAGCAATTCAAGTAAGTACTTGCTGAGTTATATGACCTTAGTGTAAACTATTAAATTTTGTGAAAAAAATAAGCGTTAAAGAGTCGTCAGAATAGAACTCTTTCAGCTGAGCAGTGAGCCAGAGGGCTAAAGTGCCCAACTCAAGATGACCGCTTAATAAAAAAACCATAATTAGATTGAAAACAAGCATGTACAGCAGGATTTACTGGGGCCAATAAATTTCGTGACGGATTTTCAACTGCAGCCCGTCTCAGCATAACATAGGTAACGAATGAAAGCGCACAGCAGCATGAATTTGAACAGAATGGCAGTGCATAAGAGCAAGGTCAAAGTTCAAAGCAATCAATAATCAGATAAGACGTCCACATAAGCATCAAAAAGGAAAGAGGGAGACGAAATGTTAACAACAAATCACAGTCAGGGGAAAATAGAGGCGTGAGATTACCAGGGCCATTGCAGATTGATCACGGGATCTAACTGCTTGCACAGATCTGGTTTCTCTCTCCGTATGTAGGCAGATGTACAACGTGCAGTTTTGGGAGGCCTGCGGGCAAGTACACTGGCAACTTGCGATCAAAATTGTTCGGGAAAAGGGAGTTTTTTTGAGTCGATTTACACCCTTCTTCCGGGTATAAAATTCGAAGTAGATGTAATTTTTAGCCCCATGAGTAAAAGAATGAATATTCTTATGCATGTCTTGTATGAATTATAGTTAATATTATAAGGGTTTCAAAATCAATGATAAAAGAACTATACTACTTAAGTGGTAATGTTTACACGGGGTGCAGTTTATTCGGGCGG